CATTCAGCCTTCTTTTTTTTTTTTTTTACTGTTTTTGATGTAAAATCTGTTTTATCTAAGTATAGCAACTCCTATTCTTTTATGTTTTCCATTTACATGGTAGATCTTTTTCCAAACCTTTACTTTGAGCTTATGAGTGTCATTATATCCAAGATGGGTCTCTTGAAGACAGGTGACAGATAAGTCTTGTTTTCTTATCCAGTTTGCGACTCTGTGCCTTTTAAGTGGTGCATTTAGACCATTTACAGTCAAGGTTAATATTGATATGCAAGGTTTTTATTCTATCATGAAGTTATTGGTTGCTGATATGGTTTGATTTGTGTCTCTGCTCATATCTCATGTCAAATTGTAATCCCAGTGTTGAAGGAGAGGCCTGGTGGGAGGTAACTGGATCACAGGGACAGATTTCCTCCTTGCTGTTCTTGTGATAGTGAGTTCTCATGAGATCTTGTTTAAAAGTGTGTAGCACCTCCCCCCGTTTTCTCTCTTTCTCCTGCTCTGACCATGTATGATGTGCCTTCTTCCTCTTCACCTTCCACCATGATTATAAGTTTCCTGAGACCTCCCTAGCCATGCTACCTGTACAGCCTGCAGAACCATGAGCCAATTAAACCTCTTTTCTTTATAAATTACCATATCTCAGGTGGTTCTTGATAGCAATGCGGGAACAGACGAATATAGTTGTTTTGTACTTTCTATTGTATGGTTACTTTATAGGGTCTGCAGGCTTTGTACCCAAGTGTGTTTTTCTGGTAACACGTGTTATTCTTTGTTTCCATGTTAAGAACTTCCTTAAAAACTCTTCTAAGACTGGTCTAGTAGTAACGAATTCCTTTAGCATTCGCTAGTCTGGGAAAGATTTTCTTTCTCCTTTATTTCTGCCCATGAAACTTAATTTGGCAGGATATGAAATTCTTGGTTGGCATTTCTTTAAGAATGCTGGAAATAGGCCACCAGTCTCTCCTGTCATGTAAGGTTTCTGCTGAGACATCTGCTGTTAGCCTGATGGGGTTCCCTTTTTATGTAATCTGCCCTTTTTCTGTAGCTGCCTTCAATATTTTTTTCTGTTCTTTTCTTTTCTTTTTTTTTTTTTTTTTTTTTTGAGACGGAGTCACACTCTGTCGCCCAGGCTGGAATGCAACGGCGCAGTCTTGACTCACTGCAACCTCCGCCTCCCAGGTTCAAGAGATTCTCCTGCCTCAGCCTCCTGAGTAGCTGGCATTACAGGTGTGTGCCACTGTACCCAGCTAATTTTTGTATTTTTAGTAGAGATGGGGTTTCACCATCTTGGCCAGGCTGGTTTCGAATGACCCACCTGCCTCAGCCTCCCAAAGTGCTGGGATTATTGGCGTGAGCCCTAGCCAATATTGTTTTCTTTAGAGTTGACATTGGACAGTCTAGTGACTGTATGCCTTGGTGATGTTCATTTTGTATAATATCTCACCAGTGTTTTTTCTTGCCAGTGTTGAAGAATCTACTTCTTTACTAATATTTGGGAAATTTTCTTGAATTACTCCCTCAAAGATATTTTCCTCTTTGTTCTTTTTCTTCTCTCTTAGGAATGTCCGTAATTCACAGGTTTTGTCATTTTATATAATTCAATATTTCTCAAACATTGTTCATTTTTTATAAATCTTTTTTCCTTATTTCTGTCTGGCTAAGCTAGTTCAAAAAACCAGTCTTCAAGCTCTGAAATTCTTTCTTCTGCTTGGTCCAGTCTATTTCTAAAGCTTTCAATTGTATTTTGAAATTCCTTGAGTTTTTTTCTAATTCCGGAAGCTCTGATTTCAAAGTTATCTCTTCCTTCATTTCCTGGATTGTTTTAGAAGTTTCTTTATGTTAATTTTCAGCCTTGTCTTGGATCTCCTTGAGCTTCTTTACAATCCATGCTTTGAATTCTTTATCTGTCATTCCTGAGTTTCCATTTTGGTTAGAGACCATTGCTGGAGATCTAGTGTAATCCTGTGGTAGTCTCATTACATTCAGCTTTCTCCTGCTGCCAGAATTCTTGCACTGGCTCTTTCTCATCTGGGGATACTGGCACTTCTAGTTTTTGTAATTATTTTTGTGTGAGTAGGATTTTTTTCTATTTCTTTCTTTCTTGATGATGTTACTATTTTTTTCCGTTACCATTTTTTATCCCCTCTCTAGGGAGTATGACTGTAGAGAATGCTGGGTCGGGTTTTTTTGGCTTTGTTTTTATAGCCGTATGCACTTCTTTTGGTGGGTTTTACATTGGGCTATGCAGTTTGACTTACAAGCCTGTAGATGGCACTTATAAGTAAGAGTCGACTGCAGTCAATGTGCCTGGGTATATACTTGATCCTTGTTTGCTGGTGGAAGCTTTCTATTGCCTCAGGCAATCAACTGAGTTGTGGACTGCACATTGTTCTGAGCCTGGCTTGGGGAGGTGCATGAAGGGTGGGCTGGACCAGATGGGTCCCCTAATTGCCAGCACAAGCACCAGTGCAGAGGGAGAATCCAGTGCGCAGCCACAAAGCACCCGGAGGTGTACCTAGGTATGGAGCTAGGGAACCTCTTCAGTCCCATGTTCTCTGCCCAGGAATTGAGGGTGGCCTAAACTCCTAATCCAGTAGAATAGGTACTCCAGATTCCTGGAGATCTGCCTGGGTTTGAAGCAGAGAGGTGTCCCCGTGCACCACAAACTGTACTGGGGGAATGGGGCAACTCAGGCTGCTAATCCAGGTGAGCTGCTGCTTCGAGTGCCTAGAGATCTGCCTGGGCGTAGAACAAAGCCTCCCTGCACCAGGATCTCTTCTCAGGAATGGAAGAATGGGTCAGACTGCTGATCCAGGTGAATGGGTGCTCCAGATACCTGGAGATCAGCCTGGGTGTAGAGTAGAGGGCCCTCCTGCACCAAGATCTCTGCACAGGAGGGATAGAGTGACTCAGGTTGCTGATCCAGGCAAGCTGATTCTCTGATTGCCTAGAGATCTGCCTGAGCGTGGAACAGAGAGAGTCCTGCTGCACCAAGATCTCAGGGGAACAGGGCGGGGGACCCAGCAGTGGCACACATAGATTATTTCCAAGTCAACAAGCATGTATGTGTGTATGGTATTATAAAAAATCAGTAAGACAAGGTTATTTTTTTATTCAAGCAGGAAAAATTTTTATAAATTTAGTGTAGCCTAAGTACGAAGTTCTTATAAGTCTACAGTGGTATACGATACTGTTCTAGGCATTCACATCCACTTACTACGCATGCACTGACTCACCCAGAGTGACTTTTATCATTATGAAAACAAAGATTATTAAGAATCACTATGTGCCAGATACTGTGCTCGCTAGCAGGGATACAATTTTTAATAAGACATGGCTCCCGCATTCAAGAATTGCATAGTCTAATGAAGGAGAATAAATTGAAAATACAGTCGTAAAGGTAAAAAGTTCAGCAATAGAAGCATATACAGAATTCAGCAGTTAACAGCAGGGAAACGTTAAGTTCTGCAATGGGCAGTCTGGTAAGGCTTTCCAAAAGAAATGATTTTTAAAATGTGTCTGCACACAACCATGTCATGTGGCTTTACAGGGCAGACAGGAACAATGGGGGAAAGTCAGAGAAGTCAGTCAATAAGAGGTGGTCAGTGAAGGGTTTTGTAAGCCACATGGGGAGAGCTGCTCTTTCTCTAGGGGCTCTGATAGTTAATAATAACAGTTAACAACTACTCGTCATTTATTAAGCAGCTGGCATGTGCCAGAGATTCTAAACCACCATTCATTTGCTCACAGCAACCCTACATGATGAGTTTCAGTAGTTACATGTGAGGAGAGAAAGAAACTGCAGTTGAGTTACTGGCCTAAGATCACATAGCCAATAAGTGACAATGTTGAACCCAAGACTTGTACCTAGATCTCGCTTCGAGAGAGTCACATATAGAGGTGGATTTACCATGAAGCTAATGAAACTTAAATTTCAGGGTTCTTCACTTGCTGGACACCTATGAATGCTGGGAGTTGTCATGTTTGAGGTAGAGAGGGAAAGCTGCGTTATAACCAGAAAGCATTTCTATGTAAGCATTTCTGGGAACTTGTCTGACGACATCTCAGAAGAAAACATCTGGCGGTTTTCTTGTGGTTTATTTTCTTTTTGTAAATACTCACTTTTGTAATTGAACATTATATGTCTGAAAGATGGAGAAGTGCAACCATCAGAGAAGGCTACATGAAAGAAAATAGCATGCTTATTAATAACTCCATGTAGTTTCACACTGCCAAACCATGGCATGAGGAGAGAAAAGTGACGGGAGTTTAGACCCTTTATTGAAACCTAAGAAATAATGTTTGTGTAATTATATAGTATTCTAAGGAATTTTGACTTTATCCTATCAGAGATTCTCAGCCTCAGCTATAAATAAGAATTGGTAGATCTGAGGAAGGGCTGAAATATTTTTATTTTTTTAAAGCTTCCTAAATGAGTCAGATGCACAGCTAGGAATGCTGTAAGCAATGAGAAGCTGTAGACAGATTTGAAGTAAGGAAGCAACATAATCAGATGTGCATTTTCAAAGGGAATTCTACTTTTTAAATAGGTGGGAAAAGAGACTTGCAGTAGTCCAGACAAGAGATGATGTCTTTTAATGACTGCATAATAGTTCATCGAGTTAATTGTTTATATATTATTTATGTTTCTAGGGATGTATATGTATTCACTGTTACTCAAAAAAAGTACATCTTTTTGTTTCTTTTGTTCTAATTTTTCACTAGGACAGATTCCCAGGAGTAATTCTACTGAGTCAATGGAAATGAGTAGTTTTGGCTCCTGCTTATAAATTGTTATAATGGTTGTAATCCATTCCTAGAGTTAACTTCCATGTGGTGGGCCAAATAGGAATTTTAGAATCATTTTGTAAAGTTCTAAAAAGAGCAACAATTTGGATTTTGATTGATTTTATTTTGAAATTAGCAGTAAATTATTGAAATAATGCTTACATTGTATTTATGGTAACCACTCACTCAGTAACTAAATTTATCTTTCATAGATTGATGAACTCCCAGAGGGAGCTGTGAAGCCTCCAGCAAACAAGTATCCTATCTTCTTTTTTGGCACCCATGAAACGTAAGTTAGCAAAAATAGTTTCAACAGCTCTAACTTGATTCTGCTATGCTACATTGTTTTTGGATGATCTGTGACATCTTATATCTTGTTAAAATCATTATAATCAATTATATAAAATTGCCAAACTTAATAATGTATTTTTCTTAATGTAAATACTTTTTATGATAGAAGCCTTTACGACTAAAAGCATATCTTTGCTTTTGAATGTCATTTGTGTTTCTGTGTAAATATTGGTCACCTAGAAGTGTCCTCTAGGACACTTTTAAGTCCTAAAGTGGTTTCTTTACCACTCCCAGTAGTTTCTTTTATTGCTTTTATTTATAATTTCTTTTTTAAAATTTCTTTTATTTATATATTTCCCTTCCAGGGAAATTTTTTTCCATTCATATTTCACAGAACAAAGTTATGTTCTCTTAGGCTCTTTCACCTTGTTGGGCCCTGAAGGAAGCATACGACCTTTTTTAGGTTTTATAGCTGTATTTGTTGGTGTACAGACTATGCTTGATGTAATAAAGGATTCTAAAAATACAGTGTCTCAAAAATATAGAAGTTTACTTCTTTCTTTTGAAATAATTCAGAGGTAGGGAGGTAGATTGGAGTGACTACTCTGCTCTAGGGACCCAAGCTGCTTCTGTTGTCCTGACATTCAATACTAAAACAAAAAAACTGGCTCAGCAGCACATGTGCATCCTGCAGGCAGTAGAAGGAGGAAAGAGAAGAGGTAAAGAACAAGTGTTCCTTGTAAGGAAGTGACAAGGAAGTTACATACATTAGGTCTTCACTTAAGTTGATAGGTTCCTGGAAACTGTGACTTTAAAGGAAACATCAGACAGCAGGCTGTCAAATAACATCTTTTGCTCAGCATTGTCACAGTTTCCAAAAACCTATCGACATTAAATGCGGACTTACTGTATATCATTTATACTTCCATTCATTCCAGTGACAAGAACTTGGTCGTGTGGCCACATCTAGCTACAAGGGAAGCTGAGAAACAGTCTCTAGTTAGGCAACTCTGTACCCTGCTTTAAAAATTGGGAGAAATATCCATTATAGGAAAAAAGTAGAGCATGAATACTGTGGAATTGTTGGCAATCTTTGACACACTAGAAACATATATGGTTATTTTCAAGAAAACAAATGGAACAAATTGGAAATGTGGAGAAAAGCTAACAACTATCACAAAAATCTTTAAAAGTCTTCAAATTCAGGGTCATCACTTATATTAATTGAATGTTAGTAGAGCCTAGCATGAACTTTATTAGCTTGTTGCCTTTGCCACCTGACATCTTTCTCATTCTTGTCTTGAAAAAGAGACAGGGGAAGCCTCTCAAGACAGATTTTTTTTCTTGTGAGAATAATTATAATTTATTTCAGGAAGTTAGTTTTATTTTATTTTGTATTATTTTTATGTAAAAGACACTGTAGACTATGCAACTGATCATGTTTTTCTCCTTTGAGAGGTTGCTTTCTAGTAACCTCTAGAAAAACATGAAGGAGAAAATAAGTTTTACCTATAATAAGTGCATAGGGCTTTGTGATGTATATTTTTGCATTTTCCTTATTCTTTCCCCTCTTTTTTTTTTTTATCATTGGTTTGCTTTTTTTAGAACCCATCTCCAAGTGATCTGGTTGTACTATAATCCATATGTGATTTTTTTTGCTGGTTTGATCATCCAGAGGCAGATTTTAAAACACCTGGGGGAGAATGAACTTCAAATAACCTGTCATAACATTGGTTCTGCTCAACTTTTACTAAGTATTGGATGTCCCTGGACCTGAGATTATACTTGCCCTGGCAAGTATGAATATTCACCCTCTCTGAAGGCAGAAATGATGTCAGTGTTGTTTACTCTTACATACACAGTGCTTAACACAGTGCCTGGCCCATGGTGGTGTTTAAAACATAATTATTGATTAAATTAAAATTAATTAAATGATGCAGGGGAGGTATGTGAAAAGTGAGGTGAGCTTAACAAAAAGTCTGTGTTTGGTTCAGCTAAAGGAGTACCCTAGGCAGGAACAGAATTTTCCTCAGAACCTGACTTTGAATCTGTTCTAATTTTCTGATAGGTGACTGGAGTCCCTAGTTCTTCTGCTTCATATAACATAACCCCAGGAGTTTCAGTTTAGACAATTTTCAAGGAATCCTTAACAAGGAAAAATATATCATCCTCAGTGTATTTAGCTTTGAAAAAAATTCATTTTCTTTTCTACACTTAAAAAATTTAAAAATATATACAGCAGTTAATAAATTGAGAGGGGATTTGAGTTATATAGTTATCTGTAATCCAGAAAAAAACAGGCCTATCAAAAACTTACAGCTTGTTTTAGAATAGTTGATTCAGACTGTCTCTTGCCTGCAGTAGCTAACATGGCCAGTTGTTAGTTAATATTCCTGTGGTATGCTAGTGAAAATGTATCATTTATTTATAAAAGAATGCTTTCCATTCTCTGTAGCAGAAAGATGTCCATCTCATACATCCAAAAGTGGAACAAGATAAAGAAGGCAAAACTTATTAACTCTTTCATCAAAAAATAATGACCATTAGCCCTTACTCTTGTGGCATTAATACAGTATAGGCAGCTGAGAGCAGTGGATCATGCCCATAATACCAGCACTTTGGGAGGCCAAAGCGGGAGGATCACATTAGCTCAGGAGCTTGATACTAGCCTGGGCAACATAGTGAGACCCTGTCTCTACAAAAAATAAAATTAGCCGGGCAGGATGGCTGTATTTCTAGCTACTCAGGAGGCTAAAGTGCGAAGATCACTTTAGCCTAGAAGCCAAAGCTGCAGTGAGAGATCCTTTCTCCTCTGCCCAAAAAAATAAGTATAGGCAGGCTCTGGTTAGCATCAGTAGCTGATGTGAATACCAGGCAGCTTAGCCCACAGTTATTTCTTAAGCATAGAGTCAAAGACTGAGGAAGGTCAAAAGCTAGAGTTTAATAATTCATGACAAATTCCTCCAAAAGTGAAGTTGCCATACATAAAGTCCATTTATTGTATTCAGTTTATCAAGCAAGACTTTGACTTTTTTAAATTAAAATGTCTATTAACAAATTATTTCTGAGTTCATTGAGGTGGAATCATGCTGACTAAGCAGTTAAGGTGAACAGTAAGGAAAGGTTTGGTGCTTCTTAAACAACTCTGGGGTCAGAAGGCTTACCCAGGCGTTTTTATAAACTTGAAGTTTTTGGTTAGCTGAACACTGAAACCCAGTCAGAAAATGTAATTTACAGAGATCAGTAGTAAACTGTTAACCTCTTGTTTGAAAGTTTTCAGTATCTTCTCTTTACTGATAATTTCCAAATTTACATCTTCAGCTTACACCTTTCCCCTCTGCGTTAGAGTTCTCTCTCCACCTGCCTGACATCTTCACTTGGATGTCTTAACAGAATTTTAAATTTAACATTCAAAACTGAGGTTTTTGCCCCCAAACATTGTCCCCACAAAAAAATATGTCAATTTCAGTAAATATCAACTCCATTCTTATTTTTCAGTCTAAAACCTTGGAGATATCCCCAACTCCACCCTTTCTTGCACATGCCATGTCTAGCCCATCAACAAATCTTGAGGCTCTTTCTTGAGAATGAATTCAGGATGTGACCACTTCTTACCAACTGTACTACTTACACCCTGGTTCAAGTCATCATGAATACTTCAGAAGCCATCTAATTAGTCTCCTTTCTTCCGCTATAGCAACTAAATCTTCAGTCTGTTTTCCTGAAGAGAAGTGGCAATTAAAACATAAATTGCCACTTCTCTTCTCAAAACCTTTAGAGGCTTCCCATCTCACTCAAAGCCTTTACAGTGGCCTTCAAGGCCCTAAATAATCTGTGATCCCATTCTGTTAACCTCTCTCATACTGGTGTTCCTTCACTAATTTCACTCTAGCCAAACTGGCCTCTTCTCTTTCTCAAACATATGAGGCACTCTTCCTCTCCCACTTCAGGGCCTTTGTACTTGCTCTTTCTTCAACCTGTTCTTTTCTTCCCCAGGTAACTGCATGAGTCATTCCTTTTTTACTTTGTTCTTAACTATTCCCTTTGCCTTCCTTGATCTGTATATCTGTAATTATAAAATCTACCACCTATTCTTCTCATCCTTCTCTGCTTTTTTTTTAGCACACACACTAGATACTTTATTTATTTTTTTGTTATCCAAACCCCCACCTATGCCACTAGAACATATGCTCCAAGAAAACAGAGATGTTTCTCTTTGTTCCCTGTAGCTCCTCTGGAATAGTGCCTGACACATGATATTAACAAATGTTCATTTAATGTTTGTTGAATGAAGGAATATGTGAATCTCAGTTTGAAATGTAAGCTCTAGGAGTGTCAGCCAGAACTGGGGCCTAATGCTAAAGACTCTTGTTTGAATGCTTAGATCTATTAACTAGGCTCAGAATTTGTTCTAACGTCTTTTTTTTCCTTGGTTATGATTAATTTAGGATGTGGTTTAAATTGGATGAGCATCTACCTGCTTTGTCACTTCAAATTTTTTTCTTGCTTAGTGCTTCATCTAACATGATTTTTTAATGTATAGAAAGAATAGGCCGGGCACAGTGGCTCATGCCTGTAATCCTAGCACTTTGGGAGGCCAGGGCGGGCGGATCACCTGAAGTCAGGAGTTCAACACCAGTCTGACCAATATGGCGAAACTCCGTCTCTACTAAAAATTCAAAATTGGGGCCGGGCATGGTGGCTCACGCCCATAATCCCAGCACTTTGGGAGGCTGAGGCAGGTGGAATATGATGTCAGAAGTTCAAGGCTAGCCTGGCTAAGATGGTGAAACCCCATCTCTACTAAAAATACAATTAGCCATGCACGGTAGCAGGCTACTTAGGAGGCTAAGGCAGGAAAATCACTTGAATCCAGGCGGCAGAGTTTGCAGTGAGCCGAGATCAAGCCAGGGCACTCTAGCCTGGGCAATAGAGTGAGACTCCGTCTAAAAAAAAAAAAAAAAAAAAGAAATGGGTGTGGTAGTCCATGCCTGTAATCCCAGCTACTCTGGAGACTGAGGCAGGAGAATCATTTGAACCAGGGAGGCAGAGGTTGCAGTGAGCCAAGATCACACCATTTCATTCCAGCCTGGGCAACAAGAGTAAAACTCTACCTCAAAAAAAAAGAAAGAAAGAAGAAAGAATAGTGAATAAATATACTAATGTGGTACAGTAATGCCACTCTTATCTGTAGGGGATATGTTTCAAGACCTCCAGTGGATGCCTGAAACCGTGGATAGTATGAACCCCGTATATACTGTGATTTTTCAATCTGATAACAGAGAGCTACTAAGTAACTAGTGGGCAGGTAGTGCAAACATCATGGATATACTGGACAAAGGGGTGATGCATGTTCCAGGCGGAATGGAGTGGGCATGAGCTCTTATCACACTACTCGGAGGGGTGTGATATTTAAAACATATAAATTGTTTATTTTTCCATTTAATATATTTGGACCACAGTTGACCATGGGTAACTAAAACCACAGAAGGCAAAACCACAGGCAAGTGGGGAAGTACTATATAGAGAATTAAAACCTTTTTTTTTAATTCTAGTATTTATATTTTTACTATGAATTTCACAAAACCCTTACCTGTAGTAAGATTAACACAGGTAAATCTTAGTTTGAGATGACAATTTAAGTGGCCAAAGTAGACATCTTTAATTCTACTTATGTAACTAAAAATTGGTTTTAAATGAAGATATTGCTAATTTAAAATAAAATTAAAGTAGCACAATCCAGGTGGCTGGCTTGTATTCTCAGCTATCCATTTTTTTCTGTCTTAAAATATGTGTCTAAAACATCTTATAATATGTGCCTAACTCAAAGGGCTTATATGTACTTTAAATTTGTTTGCTATAATATGCTCTGACACCTTCATTGATACTGATATTTTAAATATCTTACCTTTGAAGATCAGTGTGTCAAGTCTCTTTCTAATATATCTCTGCAGTGCATTTCTAGGTCCCAAAGACCTTTTTCCATATAAAGAGTACAAAGACAAGTTTGGAAAGTCAAATAAACGGAAAGGATTTAACGAAGGATTGTGGGAAATAGAAAATAACCCAGGAGTAAAGTTTACTGGATACCAGGTAATGGTTTACTTCCTTGTCACTTACTATATCTCATTTCTTTGGTTTTAACTTTTTTTCAGATCTTTCTTATATGTCTTTTCTTCAGTTGCATTTTCGATTAAATATAATTTTTACTCAGAAGGGTTCAAATCAAGTGTCCATTGGAAAATTGAGTTTGACAGCCCTTTGTTTTTGAAATATTTCAGAGTAAGCAGAACCCTTTCAAATTAAAGCAGTAGTTCTTTTCAGTGTTTGTTTTTTGCTATTTGTTCAAAAATGTAATCAGCTAATATTATTTCTTAGGCAATTCAGCAACAGAGCTCTTCAGAAACTGAGGGAGAAGGTGGAAATACTGCAGATGCAAGCAGTGAGGAAGAAGGTGATAGAGTAGAAGAAGATGGAAAAGGCAAAAGAAAGAATGAAAAAGCAGGCTCAAAACGGAAAAAGTCATATACTTCAAAGGTTACTAAGAAACTTCCCATTGTTATTAATGTTATGTGCATATTCATTAAACATTTTTAGATTATTTTCCATGTGTTTATTGGGTACATAGAAATTTACCATATTCTGTGGAGCCTCTGCCTTTAGAGACAACAGAACAGCAGAGGGAAGTCAGGTAACCTTAGATACTAGGGCAGTCTGACTGTTGCCTCTTCAGGGCTGATTTGGTCCTGAAAATAACCACCTTTTTAGTTGGAGGAGGACTGTTCTTTAGTTAAGGATATATTTGTATGCTTCCTACAGTAACCCCCAGACGAGCTCTGAAGAATTGAGAAATGTAGGAGACACAATTCAAGACTGTGTCTATGTACTATATGTGTAAATGCACACATGTCACTTAACCATGAGGTTCTTTTGAGAAATGCATCATTAGGCAATTTTGTCATTGTGTAAACATTGTAGAGTGTACTTACACAAATCTAGGTGGTACAGCATCCCACACATCTGGGCTTTTTATATGTAGTCTGTTACTAACCAAAATATTACTATGTGACATGACTGTAAAAAGATGTATTTTTACTTGTCATTCTGCTTCAAAGAATGCACTTTGGCTCTTTATTTATTCAGTTCTTTTATTTCCTAATCACCTAGTCTATTCCAGACACTAGACCAGGTATACAGTGATGAGCAACTCCATTCCTATCTTCACATAAATTTTAGTACAGTAGAGAGTCGGAGGTAGCACACAGTAATCACATAAATAATAAATTATGAAATGTCTGTGAAGGAATTGAATGGGAGCAGGGGGACCAGTTTTAGATAGAGTGGCCAGGACTTTCTGAAAACGTGTAGTTTATGCTGAGACCTAAAAGAAGAGAGTGGGAAGAGAAGCCATATATGGCAGAGGGAAAGGAATATAGCAGCAAAACTCTGAGGCAAGGAGTTTAGCATGTTCCTGTATTGAAAGAAGGTGTGGCTGGAGAATCATGACCAAGAGGAAGAGGCTAGCAAAGGCAGCCTTGTAGGCGGTAATGAGGAATTTGGATTTCATTCTAAATCTAACAGAACTTGAAGGTTTTAAACAGAGGAATGACATGATCCTAGATTTATAAATTGAAAGTCTAGGTTTCTTCATATGGTAATTCAGAAATATAATTGAAAGAACTCTGAGATTATGAAAATTATTCACCTTTTAGAAACTGAAAGCAAGATAAATGGATCCTTGAAGACCAAAGATTAGTACAGGTTTTACTGTATTTGGTCTGTTACATGATTGAATACCTGGATAAATTACTTCTATTTAAAGTCTGGTATTTAGTGGCTGGATATACTTAGGAAATTCTGAAAACAAGTACTAAGAGTGTATTAGATTATCATAATTTTATTTTGGCAGTGTTAAAATCTTACCCAACTGGCATACAGGCAGAATTTCGTGAATGAAGCATTATTTCCTGTGTACCTAATGAAAAACATGTAATGCCTTGGATGGGGATAAAGTTTGCAAAATGACAACAAAGAATTAGATTCTCCTTGTCAGACTATATCTTCTATTACAATTATTTTTTTAAGCTGAATTTCTTTTAGCATTTTGGACTTTATTTAAACACCCACTTGAATTGATTTTACTTAATTTATGATTGCCTGCTGAGCTTCTACATAATGTGTTATGTAACCCTAAATTATTTAAACTACTCAATGTTGCCTAGGCATTTAAGAGTGTGGATATGTGGCTTTTAAATGCTGTTATTTTATTGCCTGTTACAAAGACCAGAAGTAATGAGGCTCCACCTGGGTGGACTTAAAATTTAAAGCAGAGAAGGGGTAAAGACACACTTAGTTTAGTAATGTTTATTTTAAATTAAGGGATCATTTCCTTTGCATTCCTTCAATATTGCAACTTCTTGATCACTTAGTGGCTTTTTGGCTGGGCTCAGTGGCTCATACCTGTAATCCCAACACTTAGAGTGGCTGAGGCAAGTGGATCGCTTGAGCCCAGGAGTTTAAGACCATCCTGGGCAATATAGTAAGACCTCATCTCTGCAAATGATAAACAAAATTAGCCAGGCATGGTTGCTCTTGGCTGTAGTCCAGCTACTTAGGAGGCAGAGTTAGAAGGATCACACGAGCCCAAAAGGTCCAGGTGAGTGAGCTATGATTATGCCACTGCCCTCCAGCCTGGGAAACACAGTGAGACCTTATCTCAAAAGGCAAAAAACAAAGAAAGAATGACTTTTTATTTTTAATATTAATGAAGTAACCTAGCATAATGGTTCTCAAACTGTTACATGCCTTACAATTACATGGAAGGCTTGTGAAGACAAGCTTACATTTTTTTGACAAGCTTGCCACATTTAATAGTTATACTATATTTATTAGCAGAACAAAAAGTGTTTCACATTTACTGCTCTCATTCTTGATCTTAACTGGAAACACTGCACATTTGTATCATTAAATCCCTGTTTTCCCTTCATATAAAAAGTTAAAACACTACATTTTAACATGACATTTTAGGCTTGGTTGGTAGTTTCAGTTAAGTAAAATAGAAACATTGTTGAACCCCGTTCCCGGAATTTCTCAGAAGGTCAGAAGGTCTAGGGTGGGATCTAGGAATCAAATTTCCAGGTAAGGCTGATCCTGCTGATTAGAGAACCACTCGCCTACCTAGCATAACTTCATTGTTCTCTTTGGCTTCCCAAATGCTTCATATATATGATAATTTATGATGATCTTTTTTTTTTCTTTTTCTTTTTCTTTTTTTTTTTTTTTGACAGGGTCTGGCTGGAGAGCAGTGCAATCTCAGCTCACTGTAACCTCTGCCCCCTGGGCTCAAGCAATCCTCCCACCTCAGCCTTCCCAGTAGTTGGGACCACGGGCGTGCACCACCACACACAGCTTTTGTTTTGTTTTGTTTAGTAGAGACAGGCACTTATCATCTTGCCCACACTGGTCTCAAACTCCTGAGTTTGAGCAATCCACCAGCCTCAACCTCCCAGAGTCCTGGGATTACAGGTGTGAGTCATTGAGCTAGCCATTTTTTTTTTTTTTTTTTTTTTGAGAGAGAGTTTCGCTCTTGTTACCCAGGCTGGAGTGCAATGGCATGATCTCGGATTATAGGCGTGAGCCATCGCGCCTGGCCTTATGTCTGTTTCTTAAAGGTGAATAGTCTGCCTTTGCATGGAAAACTAGTGGCTCACAAACTTTTTTTTACTATATTCCAGTTGGGTAGAGAGAAAGGCCCCAAATTTGTTTCTTTTACCTAATCTAATTTCAGTTTTCTAAGGAAAAGACTCAATAATCACAATAAAAAGTTATACTATAGCAGATTTGAGGGAGATTATATATCTCTCTCTTTAGCAGTAAGGGTATGGATTATTCATATTTGAGTCATAACAGATACTGGAGAATTATAGGTCTAAAATATTTTGCATACAAATTATTTACTGTATACAGTAGGACTAACAAGAGCCTCAAAACAAACTAAACTCATGTTGATAAACCACCAGTAATTTTAGTTAAAAAAACAAAGATAGCAAAAATCAAACAGACAACCAATTTAAGACCACACTTATAAGATAGAGTCCTTCTCCAGAACTACAGGAATTTCAGTAATCTGAAGAACTTTACAAGGTTACCAAACAGAGCTTGGCAGCCAGATTTCTTCATTGAATACTGAATTTTGTAACTCATTATAAAACTTTATTATACCCTCATTCTATTCTGTATATCCCAAATATATGCCAAATTGTTATAAACTCGTTTATAAGATTATTCATAAAGATCTTTTATAAGAATTATAAATTTCAGGGAGTTCATTATTATCTATAAGAACTGCAGATTGAGAACTGTTATTTGAAGATTACATGAAGTAGTTGCTACATTTTAATAATTGTACTATAAGGAGAACAAAAAGTGTTTCACTTTTATTATTGTTATTTTTAATCTTCACTTGAAACACTCCACATGTGTGTTATTAAATCCCTGTTTTCCGTCATGTAAAAAGTAAAAATCACCACATTTTAAACTGACATTTTGGGCTTGGTTGGTAGTTTCAGTTAAGTAAAATAGAAACAGTTTAATTATGTATTCTGTCACACAGCTAGATGATGTTTTCTATTTTTTTGTTTGTTTGTTTGTTTGTTTTTTCAAGACAGAGTCTCACTCTGTTGCCCAGGCTGGAGTGAGTGACACAATCCTGCTCACTGCAGCCTCCACCTCCCAGGTTGAAGCGATTCTCCTGCTCAGCCTCCCAAGTAGCTGGGATTACAGGCGCCCAACACCATGCCCAGCTAATGTATTTTTAGTAGAGAGGGTTTCACCATGTTAGGCTGACCTTGAACCCCTGACCTCAGATGATCTGCCTGCCTCAGCCTCACAAAGTGCTGGGATTACAGGCTTGAGCCACTGCACCCAGCCCCAGCTAATTTTTGTATTTTTAGTAGAGAGATGGGGTTTTGCCATGTTGGCCTGGCTGATCTTGAACTCCTGACCTCAGGTGATCCACCTGCCTCGGCCTCCCAAAGTGCTGGGATTACAGGCGTGTGCCACCACACCAGGCCTATGTTTTCTGTTTGAAAGTTGCATTTTTAAAAATTGATTATCTTTAGCTGGGAATGGTGGTGCATGCCTGTAGTCCCAGCTCCTCGGGAAGCTGAGGCAGGAGAATCACTTGAACCCAGGAGGCGGAGGTTGCGGTGAGCCGAGATCATGCCATTGCACTCCAGCCTGGGTAACAAGAACGAAACTCCGTCTCAAAAAAATAATAAGAAATAAAATAAAATAAAAATTGATTATCTGAAGAAGCCTCAGTTTGCTCATTCATTTCTGGAATACCAGAAGTAACTTGGCTAAATCAGTTTTGCCTTACCTCTTATTTACAATGTGCTTGAAGATTTTTTAAATATTTCAGAGGAAGTGTAAAAAAAGGCTATATTTTACTTTCTTAAGGTGCACAACTGGGGCCAGCTTTTTGTTATTTTAATAATATACTCCCAAGCAATTCTTAAGGCAAACTAATTGTATTTTTGTCTTCCTCTAGAGTTCATCTTGTTTTTCAATGCAAGATGACAAGGAAAAAGGACTGGTTCATCAGTATGGCTTTGCATTCTTAAATAATTCTCCATAATTGAAAAGATTAGTTTATATCTAACAGTTTTATCAAGATGATTCTGGGTATCCCATTAGCCAAACAGCTTCAAGAGGTATTCCAGCATGAATATCTATATATTCTCTAGGATATATTCTCACTGCTTTTGATTTCCACTATTATAAAATGATGGGGAAGGACAGGATGACCTTTAGGGTACCTTCCAGTTCTGTAGCCTTCTTGAGGTGCTGTCCATCCAACTGTATTATTCATTGACAGTGTTCTGGCTACATGAATCTTCATTTTCTGCTTTTAATATCACATTGCTGGAAAGAACTAAGAGGCCTCCTAGCCCACTTCTGCTTTCTTTCCAGCTAATCAAACTGAGGCCCAATGAGGTAAAATGATTTGTCCAATGTCACCTACCACAGCCTTCGCATACTACATGTTGCATCAGTATATCCTCTATCAACCACAAAGACTAGACACAAGTCAGCTACTGCTGCATCTCTTATTTGTACATTTGGATTTCTGCATTTGACTATAATATTTAACTTGTCTAAACATTTAGAAATCCTCTAAACAGTCCCGGAAATCTCCAGGAGATGAAGATGACAAAGACTGCAAAGAAGAGGAAAACAAAAGCAGCTCTGAGGGTGGAGATGCGGGCAATGACACAAGAAACACAACTTCAGACTTGCAGAAAACCAGTGAAGGGGTAAGGATGTGCTTATAATTTCTCTTACCTTGTATTAGAAGACATTTTGCTTCAGATTCAACATCCATATGTAAGCATCAGTAAACATTGTGATAATAAATGGAGAAGTAGTTTCAGCCTTATTATATGTATCCACTCAGCTCTTTAATATAATCTATTAAGTTCTTAGAGTCTGAGAACAAAAGAGCCAAGTGAGAATTACACCTGCCTGTCAATTTGAAACTCTAGGAACAGGTTTATTCTTCTTTATACTAACTTCTGTAACTTCAGAGTCTTTTTAAAGTACGGTGTGAAATGCTGAAATTATGAAATGCCACCTCAAAATTCAACAGTTGTATTTCTTTTATTACAAAATCGATGGTATGTTCAAAATAGGGTATTGCATACTGCTGCTGCTTTCCCAGAAGCAGTATGTAATTCAGTGTACCCATGAGGACTTGAAATATGCAAGCTATGTTTGAGTATTGATATTTAAAAGTACCCCTAGGGACAAGTTTGTCTACTTTGACTCCATAACTTTTGTTAACCTTTGTAAACTTCAGAGTACAGGTAAGTCCACCTTTGTAAAAAAGTGATGGTGAAGGCAAATTTTGCCCCTAGGCATTTTCCATTAGTCTTTGCGTGAAGACTAGTTAGACAATGTCAAATCATTTAAAAATAATGACCTAAGAAATTTATCTGGTTTCACCTGAGTTCTTACCTGTTCACGTCAGTATTGTTTACCTCTAAACTCTTTTCCTCCTTCATCCCAGTCATCTATACAAAGTATTATGCTTCTGATTGTTCTCTTATTCCTCTCACCCAGCTCAGCCTTGCTCTGTCTTCTGCTTATCTTCATCCTCTTGACTTTTCTCTAATAAGTAGTCCTCTGTTACTACTTTTGCCAGCAGCCATCCCAGGGACATATACCTGCTAACAAACAGTCACTGAGAACTCGAACACCTGGCTCACTTGATTTTCTTTTAATTCCACCTGCTACCTGTATGTCAGGCAGCTTCAATATGCAAATAACAACAACTCCAATAATTTATCTTCCCTTTACTATCAAACTTATTTCTAGATGCACTTCTTGTAACAAAGAGTTGTCCTACCCCCTTAATACTCAAAATGTGGTTGGTGAACCAGTAGCATCAACGTTATGTGGGAGCTTGTTAGAAATGCAGAATCTCAGGCCTGCCCCAAACTCCAGATACTGAATCAGAATCTGCATTTTAATTCAATTCCAAGTAAAGCATATGCACATGAAAGTCTGAGAAGCACTAATTTACATCTTTCTATTGTCAGGGTTTAGAATATCTCCTTCTGTTTTCTTCAAAGCACACCCAATCATTTGTCGCCTTCTTCTATACCAAATCTTTTCCATTGGCTCCTTCCCCTCTGCCTATAAACAGCCTAAGGTCTCCATTAATCTAGATGATATCTCCCTTTAATCTTATATTCTACCCTTTTCACTTTTCTATCTCTAAACTTCTTAAAAAGAATGATCTTTTCCCCCAGTTTCCATTTCCTCACCTCCAACTCATGACTTAACCCATTGCATTCTTATTTCTTCTTTGACTACTTCATTGAAATAACTCTTGAAAAGGTTCCTAGTGATCCTCTCCTTGCCCAATCCAGTGTCTCTTTTAGTCTTCATTTTTACCTCTGCAAAATTTAATTCTATTAGACACTTCTTCTCCTGACTTCTCCAGGTTACCAATCTCTTCTGTTTCCTCTCCCTTTTCCTTCTCAGTCTCTTTCTAGAGCTCCTTTCTTCAGTCTGACTTGGCACACTTCTACTCTGAAAACTTCTTGTGTTCATCTTATCCATTCACATGATTTCAACTTTACTGATGACTTTTTTCATTCTATATATCCTGTGCTTTGTAGATTCATTGTTCCAGCCACTAATAAAACCATTTCTTCTTAAAAGCACCTTAGAACATAATAGCTGCTACTATCTAGCACCAGTAGCCTATATGCCACATATTGTGCATGCTCTGCATGCATTATCTCATTTAATCCTCCCACAGACTTCACGAGATAGGTGCAGGTATTGCTTCTGCTTTTTAGTTGGGGAAACTGAGGCAGGAAGAATTGGCCTAGGATCACACAGCTTGTAAGAGCTCAAGTGGGAAGCAAGAGCCTGAGATTCTTTTATTTTCAACCTATTTTTAATGATATATTTGTTATATATAAAATAATATATATAAATATAAGGTTATAAAGTGACCCTAATACTGAACCTAAAAACTAGAACATAACAATTAACTTGTATCTATTTACATATTCTCTCCAGTCCCATCTTCCTACCCAGAGATGAGCACTAATGTTGTATTTATTATTTCCTTTTCTTTTTAAAATTTTAGCCTATAACATATAGGTATATAGTTAAACAGTATATTATTTAATTTTGCTTATTTTTAGCTTTTTAAAAACTTAGGATACTCACTCAGCACTATTTTTCCAAGAGTCATGTGGTTATGGTAGCAGTGGTCTATTTATTTTAACTACTGTATAATATTCAGTTTCATAGGTATACCACAACTTATTTATCCAGTCTCCTATGGATGGGCAATTGGGTTGTTTCCAGCTTTTTGCAATTATTATGAACTGTGTGGTTGTGAACATTCTCATGCCTGTCTCCTAGTATACATGTACAAGAATTTATTTAGGATATATAACTAGAACTGAAAATACTGAGTCATGAGTTGATGGATTTCAAGTTTACAAGATAATGCCAAATTATTTTCCTTAGTAGTTGGACATTCTCACTAGTGGTGTAGAAGAGTTCTCTGTGATTAACTTGGCATAGTCAGGCTTTTTAATTTTTGCCAATATAATGAGTACAAAATGGTCATTATAGTGTTAATTTACAATTCTCTGATGAATGATAAGGTTGAGCTTTCTTTCATGTTTATTGACCACCCATGTTTCCTTCTCTATACAGTACTTGTTTTGGGTTTTGCCCATTTTCCTATTGAATTTTATTTCTTACTGATTTGTAGGACTTCTTTACATATTCTGGATTCTAATTCACATGGATTGTCACATGCCTTGCAGATATCCTCTCCAAGTTTATGGCTTGTCTATTCAATTTCTTTCTGACATTTTTAGTGAACAGGCTTTTTAAACTTTATTGTATTGTAGTCAATGTTATCAAACTTTCCTCTTTATGGCTAGCATTTTTCTGTCTTGTTTAAGCATAACCACTTGAACCAGCACAATTTATTGAATAGTCCTTCCTTTTCTCTCTGATCTGCAGTGCATGTGTCATATATTCATAGGTCTCTCTCTGGGTTCTCTAATACTGTTCCTTTGGGCAATACTACACGCTCTTAATTATAGTAGCTTTCTAATGAGTCCTGACATCATGTAGGGCTAGTTGCCTAATTTTAATTTTCAAATATTTAATAGTCATAGTCTAGGATAGAAGGTCAAGGAAGGGCTTTTTTTCTTGATGGGAGAATTTGCATATGCTGGTAAGAATGATCCAAGTTGGAAATGATCACAAAATGCTAATGTAAGAAAGAATTGCCGAAGCAGTGTCCTTTAGAAAGCAAGAAGGTAGGGCTGGGCATGGTGGCTCACGTCTGTAATCCCAGCACTTTGGGAGGCTGAGGCAGGCAGACCATGAGGTCAAGAGTTCGAGACCATCCTGGCCAACATGGTGAAACCCGTCTCTACTAAAAATATAAAAATTAGCTTGGCATGGTGGTGTACGCCTATAGTTCCAGCTACTTAGAAGTTTGAGGCAGGAGAATCGCTTGAACCCAGGAGGTGAAGGTTGCAGTGAACTGAGAAGGGGCCATTGCACTCCAGCCTGGTGAGACTCCATTTGAAAAAAAAAAAAGCAAGAAAGTGTAAGATCTAGTGCACATTTGGAGGGGTTGGTTCATCCATTGAATGATGGATGGTTCATCCATTGAATCAGAAGGAAAGGCAGAGTATTGGGGCACAGATACAGGTAAGTAGATACTTGAGTTTGTAGAAATTCTTACCTGATTGCTTCTGTTTTCTTAGGGAACAAGGTTCGCATTTAAAAGTAAGAATAGGAAAAATATTGGAAGATTCAAGAGAGAAGAAAGGTACAAAATAGTCATTTAGAAGAATAAGAAAATAAATGAACTTGGAAAATGAAGTTGAATTGCCAGGCAATAATAAAGGCTTGCTTGACTGGGCATGGTGGCGCACACCTGTAATCCCAGCACTTTGGGAGGCTGAGGCGGGCAGATCATGAAGTCAGGAGTTCAAGACCAGCCTGGCCAATTTGGTGAAACCCCGTCTCTACTAAAAATACAAAAAATTAGCTGGGCATGGTGGCACGCACCTGTAGTACCAGCTACTTGGAGGGCTGAGGCAGGAGAAGCACTTGAACCTGGGAGGTGGAGATTGCAGTGAGCCAAGATCCCACCACTGCACTCCAGCCTGGGTGACAGAGCAAGACTCTGTCAAATACATGAATGAATGAATGAATGAATGAAGGCTTGCTTGAGGCCAGTGGTCTTGAATTTTAAGTGGGAGCAGTCATAATACTTGTGTGTTTTTCTCCAGGCATATTCAATAATGCAGTCACAGAGAGGACAGAGAATTCAATTTAACTAGAATTGGGGTCTTCCTAGAGAGTAAAGTAAAGGAGATTAGAGGCCAGGAAATCAAGGATGTGTACAAGGATTATAACAGTGAACCATGGAATCCAACATATGTTAAGAGGAAAGATGTAAAGGAGGAAGGGATAGAGTCAACAGAGTTTGAGTATCAAAGAATTATTGGAGTTGAAGTACCAAGTAGAAGGAGTGAGCTGGAAATATAAATGGTGATAGAAGAGTGAGATATTTGAATAGAATTGTGGAAAGTTTGCAGTAGTTAATGAGACAGTGCAGGTGCTACTAGTATTTCGAGTGGGACAGTTAATTCTTCATTGTACAAGCACTGTCTACATCACAAGACAGTGGCCCCCATGCATTAAATACCAGCAGAATAATAACCTAAAATGCCTAGATAATTTTGCTTTCAAAACA